TAAAGTGTCAACTTGGATCCAAATTGTATTTTGAGGTAGGTGTATGTAAATTATTCCCAAATTTTCTCTCTTAATTAAAGGCCATATGATTGAGGCATATTCTAAATTTCTCTGATCTCAAGTTTATATTCAAGCATTATACTTATTATTTTATGATTTTAGGAGTATAATCTCCCCTGTTGAAGATCTGAACTATGGTGGATATACATCTGCAAGACCATCAACAGAGAGTTTGGACACCTGTATACCAATACTTCTACCAATCACCTCTGTAACCTTTGCTGTGTTCATCAGACAGGTAAAAAAAGAGATAATTTTTCAAGATCATTGTAATCAAGTAAAAAAAAAGTAGATGTTTAGATTTCCTGTTTTAAAAAAATGTCATATTTTACTTTATCACAATTATCCACTGTATAAAACATCCCCATGGAAGCAAATGAAAAAATGTATTGCCGTATTAATTAGCTAGCAATTTATACCTGTAATCTAATGTGTTAGATTAAAATTGCCTACACAGCATCTATGCCCCACTATTTACACTTAGGCCATACCAATTTCTAATATAGTTCGTCGGATTCGCCGCTTCTATTTTTAACAAATCCAAATTATAATATTAAAAAAATAAATTTCGCGCGCGCGTCCAAAAATATCCGAATATAAATTTTTTTCTCGACTTTTTACACAAAACGCATAAAAGACTTGGAAATTTGTATGACAGAAGCGCGGGATTTACTCAGTTTGTTTGCAAGATGCCCGTGTAACTGTTTGTATGTACCAGGGGTGAACAATTAGCATATCCAAACAACCAGGGATCGGGCTAGTTGTTTTCTTCAAGGAGGTAGCCCGTCGGGCTAGTAAAAAACATAACTATACACAAGCAATGCAGCAATGACAAGAACAATCGGTATTTTCACTTGTATTTGTTATAAAATTCCCAACCAGTTAAAATTTTCCAGACAACATGCTCCTATTGTCAATAAATCTCCATAATCTTATCTGTTTTGTACTTCTATCTGACTTAATTACTTCCAAAAACGATCGTTTTTTTCCTAATCCGAATTTCCTCTATTCCTCAATTTATGGTAAATACATGCAGATATCTCATTAAATTATTTACGATTTTCCAATGAACTGAAAGATAAGTGTTTTGTAACTCACATAAAATATATTTCCAGTGTATTTAATGATTTAAGATGAAAACAAAATGAATTTGATTTTATTCTTAATGATCTAGTGCAATGATCAAGAAAAAAGGAAGATAAATCATTTAAATTAATTTATTTTTTTTTCATGATAATTTATGCATCATTGATATATAATTGATAGTGAGAACTTTTAACTTTGATTTAAAAAAGAATGACCCCAGTACCCTGACCTTTTCAGCAATTAATTTCTTCTCCAGATAAGTATTTATTTTAATTTTTGCCCCTCTGTTTGGGTTAGTAACTTTTTACTAGGGGCTATTAACTTGAAAGCTGCCACTAGCCTGTGGGAAAGTACTTGATTTTTTCCTCAATTGCACACCCCTGTGTACTATAGAAGAACTTAGAAATTTTTGCCACTAATATTGATTATATTCGCTCACCTCATAATTTTGAAAACTGAAATAAAAAAATAAATATTTATAAAATATTTTCGCTCGCTCGCCTCTCTTTTTATTTTTGAAAATCCAAAGAACTATGTTACAAATTGGTGTGGCCTTATCAACTTTTTATGCAAATTATCATGTAAAAACATACTGATCATTAAGGTCTTCCGCTCAGGCGGAAGACCTTCTACTGATTCTGATGGTTAAGATTATTCATATTATTCTTTTTTTTTTTTTTTTTCCTAGACGCCAACTTTGAGACCTCGTAACTCGCTCATTTCTTGACGGATTTCGTTCAAATTTTTAGAGCTTATAGACGTTAATAAAGTCTATCAGAATGCTTTCTAAAATTTCAAAAAGTCACTTCCGGTTTGGAGTTATTGCCCTTTAATCGAAAATTTATAGGCTTTCGTTTCCAGACAAAGGCTCAGAGACGGCTAAAACTGGAGCAGAAATTCTACTGATTTTAGATAATAGAAGGATTGAAGTTGTGCACATCGGTTTTCATTTTTCGATTTCTGCGCTCAAAACGGTGCTAGATAGGGGTCAAAAATGAGAGTGCCTAAAAGCGCAAAATTTTACATATATTTCCTTGTGTATCTTTTAAACTAAAAATATTTTGTTAAGACATGTTTCACAAAAGTTGTGCATAATTTTAAGATCTATCATTTGACATCAATAAAAAGGGGCTGGCCCCTCAAATTAGGGGTCAAGGGAACTTGAAAGTTTTTACTTTATAACTCAAAAACGGTAAATATTTCAATATGGTTATTGATTTGAAATGGGTTCTTTAACATCTTATTGAACTCATGAAAACGTTTTTTTTGTTCGGGTCATGTGTTATTAAATGAGCAGAAAACTTTATAGTCCATGTACAGGTAAGTGATTTTATTCGGCAAGTGTAGAAGAATTCTTTATGCGTATAACATGTATAACTGAAATAACTGGATAGAAACAATATACATAACTAAATTGAATGTTAAACTTTGTTGAAATAAGGTTTTTAACACATTCTCGAGCTGGATTGATGCCTTGCAGAATTTTCAGAGACAACTTTCTCTTTTTATTTATTTTTTTAAAAGACGGGAGAAAGGGAAAAAAAATACTGATCGTATTTCCTTCGTTTATTATTCAATGTATAGCATTATTTATATTTTACAAAAGCTTTCAAGCTTAGAATAATTCACTGTCTCTTAATACATCCATCGTAAATTCTTCTCGGACCTTGGCTGCTCTGTGTACTGTTTAGAGTTATGTTACCCGTTCATCGATCGCCCATTGACCCGTATACACGTTCAGGGAGTTCGATACACAGTGACTGTGTTGTGTGTAAACCAGTGACGACAATCATTTGCGCATTTTATTTTTATTCTGATCTCCGTTTAATGTTGAAACAAATAAAATTGTAAGACAATAGAAAAACATTAAATAACTCAGTCTTAAGCTGCACACATTTTACATACAAAACTTACATGTATACAACCATTTCTCCGATCAAAGGACAACCTAGCTGAAGAAAATAAAACGGCAGTGTTTATTTTGTATACTAGACCACTTATAGCTTTGGTATTATAGAAATTTCACACGCTATCTTGTTTCCTCTGCAACATTTATTTACTGTTTAAAATCAAAGAAAATATTTTTTGCGTGAATCGTATAGAATATTTCTACAAACATACATGAAGGTTTTGTTGAAAATAAATATGTATTCAAATATATTCATTGTAAATGTGCATTCTATTCTATATGACGAATGGCTAGTGCATGCTGCGATTTCAGTTTCTCCGCTGCTCAGGTGAGATTACAAAGTGTATGGGCGAGTTCATCAACCACACTGAAAAAGTGACACAGGATGGCCTATATCCCATTAACATTTTCCACAATGATCTGCCAATTTGACAGTAATTTGCGCGTACATTAATATTAAATTCTTCCTTTTTGATGTGTGTTATTACAGTTTCGATATTTAAAAAGTCGGGGTTCTCACGCCTGCAACTTTGTTTTTGATTTGTACGGCTGATTCTATTTTTGGAATGATATACATATAGCGTGGAGCATTTCCATCATTGCGATTGGTTCATGTATACGGGCCTATTGATCTAATTTGTGTATACCGGATTCAGAGTTTGCTATGTTCTTTAAATTACTTGTAGCGAATATAAATATTTAAAACATGATAAATGTACGAAGTAAATTGTAAGTGGGAGAGACATTTTAAAATCTAAAATTACATAATTTATAATTGTATTGTACGGAATGATATGCTTATATCTATGTATTTCTTTTATTTCGTCAAATAAAAAGAATATCATGTTGATATGATTTTACAGGCACATGATCATTGTAAAAATATACAGCTTAAATTACATGGAAGAGCTCTTAAAACAATATACATCCCAAGCTTTTCAAGAATTTCCGACAATCAATAAAATCATTTCTAATTTTCATAATTGTCTTTCTGGATTTTTACACTATATTTATAGCAATTTAAAGTTACAAAAAAGATGGAATCATAATTTTTATACAATATATTTGGTGAAAGGCTAGCTGCAGATGTGTAGCTCGCTAGATGAAAAAAAATTGGGATGGATCACCAGAAAGCTACAGTGCCACCCATATTAAAAGTATATATTAATTGTGCACAAAAAATTGCATTTGGTTCTGGAGTAATTTCTCAGAATTCTTACATAGATCAACTGCACAAAAGATGGATTTCAAAATATTCCAGATACCTCTATCAAGTACTAAGTACTTGACATTTGCAAGAAGCTCGTTGGGCCGAATTATTTTTCCACCCAAAATGGAAGAATAATTAGTTGATATTTTCGATATCTAAAATTCCGCTCAGGAGGACTATTAAAAAAAGTTTGTAAGGAATGTTTTGCTGTAGTAAAATTGAAGGAATGTGCTAGAGACACACGGTAAGTAATATTTTTAGATTGCTGCAGTTGAAAAACACCGATATTATGGAATCACTGTCTAGTTTTGAGAGTATGTCAGGGGGGGGGAAACATGGGGCATAACGGGCGAAGCCCGTTATGCTTAAATTATCCCATGTTTCCCACTATTGTTGATGTCCCTGGCATACTCTCAAAACTAGACAGTGATTCCTTATATTTCCATTTCATTGTGAAATAAAATTGTAGACTTAGACATTAAGAATGTAGACTAATCGATTTAAATTACACGGGGACTTCCATGCCAATTTCAATAGTCCTCGTACACTGACGTCAAACACAAAGGCAGCCGCACGAGATTTACATGCATATTTGGCCTCCTTAGCCTCAGACACAGAGACAGATGCGCACGAGATTTGCATGCGTATTAGGCCTCCTTAGCTGCTGACCTATCGACCTGCCTAATTTACATTCCGGCAGAATTATCAGGAAATCAACTCCGCTTACTTTCAAAGGGTTATTATAGAGAAAAAATTTAGAAATGGAAATATTGAAATATATAGCTTCAGCGCATTTTTTTTTTTTTGTGCACAAATATATTAACTTTTTAATGGGTGGTACAATAGCTCTCTTACCTGGCAATATAGCTAAATTTATGTGAAAGTGAAAGGCTGGACAATTAATTTTATACATGTAAGATGCATGTGGTGCTGACGGCCTTTGAGCATACGCAGAATACCCAGAAAAGGAACAATATTTCAGCTCAAAAGACAGTTTAAACAATGAAAATCGCTAGCAGCGCAAAGATAGAATTAAAAAAAAATCAGAGGTGGAATCAGGCGAATATAATCCTTTTACAACACCACCTACATGTACCTCGTATCGATACAATTGTGTATATGCTCTCATTAAAGACCGGTCTCGGCGTCTTGAATCCAAACGTACATATATAATGTATATGTACTTGAAAAATATGTATTAATATGTCTTTAAGGTAATATCATGAAGGAAACTTCATTTATATTGTAAAATTTTCTATATATTTTTTTTGGATTATTCGTATTTCTCAATTTATCATGTTTAAATTTCATGTATTTATTTTTAGGGTATATTAAACCTTATTCAACAGCCAGTCTGTCCATCTGTCACGAGAACTTTAAACTTGTCAATGATAATAATTATTGAATGAGCTGAAATATATAGGACTTTCATATATGTCATGTTCATTAATCGTGACATGTGATTTTCAAATATACTGTGACCTTCATCTTGGAGCTTGGCCTACATAAAAATAACATTACTTTAAATTGACAAAAACTTTCGAAAGCTTCCATTTTATAAAAATGCATTACCTGTGACAACGCCTTTCAATATTCAGTATGATTATTTACCATTTGACCTTGAAGTTTTGACCTGCTTTTCAAAAACATTAACAATTGTCATACAATAAGAACGAGAAGAAAGAGGGCTTTTATTTTACCCCTGTGTATTACCTGAGACAACACTTTTCTAAATACACTGACTTTTGACGTGACCTTGAAGCTTGACTTACTTTTCACAATTCTAGCTTTGATCATAACTTTTGAATGAGAAGAGATAGGACTTTCATATTACACAAAAATCACATGACTGTATGTACTAGTTTATAATGAACTTTGACCTTGACGTTTAACCGGTTTTTCCATTTAAACATAACATAAAAATTTGACCATAACTTTTGATAAAGAAAGGGTACCTCTTTCATACCTGTTTTACACATGTTAGCTGTGACAAGGCTTATTGAAAAAAAAGAGTATAGCTTAAATCAAGGTGTGTCATGACCTTGAATCACGGTCATTTAGGATAAAATGTATGCATTGTTTGAAAGAACATGTGTGAATTTGTCAATACAGTAGCACACAAATGGGATATGCTCTGACATCACCAGCGTGTGTCATGGTGTGACGCAAGGTCATTTTGACAAGGTCAAGGTCGCAAAAATAAATTTACTATCCACTTTTTAAATAGTAGAACATAAGATGATATCTACCCTTAAAACATTGCTTTAACATTAGAACGTGACATGACCTTGACTCAAGGTCACTTCTCCCTGTCCGCAGCTCCGACGGAAGACCTACTCGTTGCTTTGCAACGAGCTCGGCTCTAGTTTCTTTTATAATTTTATTGTTGTTTTAGATGAGGAAGCACTTGGTATCTTTAATACCATTCACAATGCAGGCTACTACAGAATCACAATGCGAAAGCTTGGATGTACCCAATATTCAGTGAGTGCATGTGCAACTTTATGTCTTCTTCTTTAAAATGTTCGAATATAATGTATATATAGTGCAGTTATTTTTGGATTTGATTATTTGCCTTATTCTCTTATTCAAACTTTCTGAAAAAGTCTACTAACTTAATAATTTAATCCTTGGATCAGTCCATTTTAAGCTCACCTGAGTCACTCAGGTGACCTATTGCTATCTGTTTTTGTCCGTTGTCATACGTCGTTCGTCGTCAATCGATCGTGAACTTTTGAACATTTTCAGCTTCTTCTCTGCAACCACTCGACCAATTTCAACCAAATTTGCCACAAAGCATCTATGGGTGAAGGGGAACAAAAATAGTGAATTTCATGATCCCTGCCCCCCTGGGGCCTGGGGGGTGAGGCCAAAACCACTAAAATTAATGCAATCTTTAAAAATCTTCTTCTTTATATCATCAAGCAAAACTGTTTGCATGATTGTAATCAGCATTGAAGCCTTTACCAAAATTGTGAAATTCATGGCCCTGGGGTCAGGGGTTCTTGTGCTAGGGCGGGGCTAAATAAGTATATAGTGAACATGCATTATTTCTTTGAAAATCTTCTTCTCTGCTCCTGAATATTGAATAAACTAACTAAGTAAATAGTTATGATGAGCAAGAGTGCCTCTACCAAAATCGTGAATTTTATGGCCCCAGGGTCAGGGGTTCTGGTCAAACCGGAAGTAGCAAAAAATGTCAGGGGATGGCTTAAACATTATATAGAGAAAATACATGAATTCTTTGAAAATCTTCTTCTCTGCTCCTGGGGATTAAATAAACTAACTAAGTACATAGTTATGATGAGCAAGAGTGCCTCTACCAAAATTGTGAATTTTATGGCCAGGGTCAGGGTTCTGTCCAGGGCACTTTGTTGATTATATAGTGAAAATACATGAATTCTTTGAAAATCTTCTTCTCTGCTCCTAGGTTTTATATAAACTAACTCAGTACATACTTATGATAAGCAAGAGTGCCTCTACCAAAATTGTGAATTTTGTAGCCCCAGGGTCAGGGATTCTGGTGTTAGGGCGGGGCTGTATTGATTATACATGTATAGAGAAAAAACATTAAATCTTTGAATATTTTCTTTTGCTCCTAGGTTTTAAGCAGATGAACTACCTATATAGTTATGAGCAATCCCTAATCTTCAAGAATTGTAAATTTCAGGGCCCCAGGGTCAGTTGTACCATAGAGGGGGGGGGCTATAATTATATACTGAAAATGAATGAATTGTTTGAAATATGCTCCTTGGTTTTAATCAAATATTTTTGAAAAGCAAGGATGCCTTTCCAAAAATAGTGCAATGTGTGGATCTAGATCTAAGAGTCAAGGGTTCATGTGTGGTAGGGGCACTACTTATTATTGCTGAATATTACCGATTAGTTGAAATGCATTTTTTGTTCCCCTACCTTGCCTATGGGTATAAAGTAACATACTAAGGAACTGCTAAGTGTATAGTTATGATGACCAAATTGTAAATGCTATAGCATCTGGCTTAAAATATGGATCAAATTCAATCAATGGAAAGTTGTTGAATAATCCTCAGGTGACCTATAAGGCCCATGGGCCTCTTGTGATTTAAATGGCCTGAGCCAAAGGCTCAAGTGAGCTTTTCTGATCAAAATTTGTCCGTTGTCTGTCGTCGTCATCATCGGCGGCGGCATTGTTGTTGTAAACTTTTTACATTTTCATCTTCTTGATACTCCAAACCACTGGGCCAATTTCAACCAAACTTGCTACAAAGTATCCTTGGGTAAAAAAACTTAAAAAATGTTCAAAAAGGGCCACCCCCTCTTCCAAGTGGAGATAATTATGAATTAGAGAAAAATTAATGGCATTTTTAAAAAATCTTTCTTGTAAGAACCGATAGGCCAGGAAAGATGAAACTCTCTCCAATCAATCTCAGGTTGTGTAGATTCAAGTTTGTTCAAATCATGACCCCAAAACATTGGGGCCAAAATGGCCGATTAAATTTTACTGACAGTATAAAGGAAAACTCTTTAAAAATCTTTTTCTCAAGAACCACTGCGTCAGGAAAGATGAAACTCATGTGAAATTATCCTCAAGTAGTGTAGATTCAAGTTTGTTCAAATCATGACCCCCAGGATAGGGTGGGGCCATAATGGCCTTTAAAAGTTTTACTTAGGAATATATAGTAAAAAACTCTTTAAAAATTTTCTTCTCAAGAACCACTGGGCCTGGAAAGATGAAACTCATGTGGAATCATCCTCTGAGATAGTGTAGATTCAAGTTTGTTCAAAGCATGACTCCCGGGGCTAGGGTGGGGCCAAAATGCCGTTAAAAGTTTTATATAGGGAAACCTTTTAAAATCTTCTTTTCAAGTACTTCAAAGCCATGATTAGTCATTATACCCGCACTTTCTAAATAGTTTTATCTGTTGTTACTGATGTAACGTCCGTCTGTCCGTCCGCCTTACAGTATCATTTTGAATTCAATGTCAGATGTAGACATGAATAGATTTATATGAATGCCTAATTACTTTTGGCATATCTGGTTGGGGGTGTCATGTAGATGTGCATATATATTTTGTTTGCCCTGGGGATCAAATGGGGGTCGAAAAATTTTCAGGTTTTTTATGTCATGCTAAAAACTCCGTCTTCCCTGAACTGCTTTCAACATTTTACTCAGCAGCCTAATCATCTTCTGGGAGATGGTTGGTGGTGTCATGTAGATGTGCAGTAAAATTTCAAATTTTCATTTTGCCCCGGGGATGCCAAATATTGGCAAATAGTTTATGTAATTTTAATGCGTTTTTTATGCAAAAAGCCCCTTAGTCCCTACTACAGAATCCTTCTACATTTTACTCAGCAGCCTAATCATCTAATATAAGAGATGGTTGGTGGTGTCATGTAGATGTGCAGTAAGGTTTCTCTTTTTTTTTGCCCCATTGGTCAAAAAAGTATTAACTTAAAATAAATAAAAATTCTCAAGTGAACAACTTGCTTCCCCTTGCTTAGAGCTCCTTCTACATTTTACTCAGCAGCCTAATCATCTTTTGAGAGATGGTTGGTGGTGTATATATATGTGCAGTAAGGCTTTTACCTAATTTTGATTTTGCCCTTTTTCAATTTCATCAAAAGCATATTTTTATGCTAAAAGCCCCTTCTTCCCTGAACTCCTTCTTTATTTTACTCAGCAGCCTAATCATCTTTTGGGAGATGGTTGGTGGTGTCATGTAGATGTGCAGTAAGGTTTCCTTTCTTTTTTGCCCACGGTCAGAGGCCTGTTCAAATGGGGGCTCGAACACATCAAATGAGGTTTTTTATGCTTCAAGCCCCTTCTTCCCTTTCTCTCCGTGTTACATTTTACAAAACAGCCACATCTTTTGAAGATAGTTGGTGGTGTCATACACATGTGCATAAAAAGTTTTGACCTTTTTCATTTTGCCCCGGGGTTCAAACCTTGCATTCTAACTTTCTTCCAACAATCGAAAATTGAGGTTTTTTATGCTAAAATTTCCTACCTTGTTCCCTCGAACTCCTTCGTACATTTTTCAGCAGCCTAATCATCTTAAGGGAGATGGTTGGTGGTGTTGCTACTGTGAATTATTAATATGATAACTAATTATATGCTTAATAAGCCATTACCTTTATTTTTACAATAAACAGGGGATCAATATTTATTTATCATATATAGGAGAGTTAAATATTTTGAAAATTAGGTAAACCATCAACATCATAGGTTAAAAAATCATAGCATCCTGGGAAACATCTTCAATTCTTGTGAGTAATGTACATGTCAAATGTGAAAGTCATATCTCTTCTCAATCAAAAGTTATAAGCAAATGCAACATTTTTTAAAAAGTATTAAAGTTTCTAGCATGAAGCTAAAAGTCAATGACTAACTACCCCACTTCACGATATAGGTTTTTCATGTTTGAGAAAAAAGTTTTAAAGGGTTTGTTTTATTGAGGAATAATATACATGCTTGTATAATATGAATTCTACAAAAATGATGAATTTAAAGAAATGTAATTTTTTTGCAAGTAGGTCAAACTTCAAGGTCATGGGTAAAAAAAAATCATACCATTGTTATAGGTAAATACTAATACATGTATATGTTTAATACAAATGCCTTGTCTCTTCACTTTTGATAGATATGACCATGATGACCAAGGTTAAATTGACAGACTGACATACAGATGTACATATTTCTTTGTGAATTGGTTAAAATTGGCCCAGTGGTTGTAGAGAAGTTAAAAATGTAGAAATTTTCCAGACAAACAGATGGACGACAGACATAATGTGATAAGGAAACTGGAAAAGCTCAAATGAGCTAAAAATTTTGGATTCACAAGTATTTTAAATGGTTATAAATTTTAAACACTTTTTTTTTTCAATTTTTGGAGAAGCTGAAAATGTATGATTTATGTATCCATTATTGAAAAAAAAGTTGAACATTTCAGAAAACAGTATGATTGAAAATAATTAATCAAGGTGTTTTGAGTATCAATATAAATTAAAGTTTTATAGCTAATTCAACTGCAGAACTCAGTCAATTTTAAGATGCACAACCTTTTCAAATCTTATAATTATTGTTTTTAAAATATTTAATCAGTTCTGATTCAAGGGAGAACAATTTACAACCAACATGCTCATGTTTTATGTTATTATTACAAGAGAGAGTTTTTTGTGAAAACATCTCTCTCTGGAATTTTTTCCCTCATATGGAGACACCGCCACTTAAAAATAATGAAGACAAAATGTGTTTGTTAAACACTGATGCCCATGTATGGCAGCTTATGACGAAGGTTGAAGTTTCTCAAATGTATGGCAAACTTAAAGGTCAAGGTCAAAGGGTTAAAATTGTTTATCAAAGATTTGTTTAGGAATTGTGAAATAAGAAATTTTATTTCCTGTTCAAAAGTTAATTGCCAAGGTTAAATTTTTTTTAAACATTGTCAAACTTCTAGGGTCAAGAGTCTGAACATATTTATACCTGTTGCCACACACATCAATGACCATGATGACACATATAAGCATGAAAGCCCAAATCAGCAAATCTTGTCAAAATGTAAGCCAAATTAAAGTGTCAAATTTCTTCAGAAAACATGACAGACATTATTAATTAAGAACAAAATTTGTATATAGTCAAACTTTGTTGAAAAAATCTATGGACAATCACTGGATATTGTTTACTTAAGATTTCTACCCATTGCTCCAGTCGACTTCAGGAAGAGGAATGAAGATGACAGGACTCCTTACCCTGTCCCTGGTAGCAGCTGACAACGGATCCAACAGCAACAAACCTGTACACTCCATCAAAGACAATGGAGCCGACAGCAACAAACCATGTACGCTCCATCAAATATAAGGTTTTAATGAAATGTCAGAAGCAATTTTCATACACAGTGTTTTGCACAAAAGTTTTGGGTGGAAGTCAAATAATGTGCATTAATTATCTTATGGCTAATATGTTGGTTCTTCTGAAACAAAATATGACTGTTGAATGGATCTTAATTAACAGTCTTTCTTCAATCTTCATTTTTTTAGCAAAAGAAACAATTCAAGTCTTTGGGATTTTCATAATGGACATGTTCTTATGTCTTTCAGATGCTCTGGATGTTGTGGCACTATCTCCATCACTGGTGAAATGGCTAAATTCTAAAGGACAGCCCTCACTTGGTTACCAGCAACTTTCCAATTCTCTTTGCAGTCCACCTCTTCATCTCTCCTGATGGTCTCTGGTGGAGGAAATGTTGCAGTGTAGTCTTTACCGGTATGTCCTGGCTTATAGGTTACATACTTACATGTTATTTCTTTGATTTACTCTGACTACATAGATCACCAAATTTTTTCAATGTACACTTTAATTTCATGCAATTGCCATTTTGTTTCAGTGAGACAAAATCTTCATAAACTAATTCAGACCTTCTTTCTCTGCCAGGATATCCATAGAATCCCCACTGCTTTGCATGGACCAATGGACTACAGAGTGACACATAGCAGTAAAGTTCTGTGCTCATTTGTTGGTTTTTGGAGTGTACATGAAAATTTGCTGGGAGACATTTCTACTTTCTTTGGATGTGGCCAATCTTCAGACTTTCCACTTTCCATTTCAGTGGTGATTTTAAGCTTGACAGTGCTTTGACCTGATTGAATTAACATTCAAGAGATGCATGTGATATTTCAGTGGTGATTCTTCGCTGGACAATGCTTTGATCTGATTGGATAAACATTCAAGTGATGGATATGAAATTTCCGTGGTGATTCTAGTTGGACAATGCTTTGATTTTTATAAACATTCAGAGATGGATGATTTCATGGTGATTCTATTTAATTTAAACATTTCATTAAAATTGATTTCATTAAAGAGCTCCATTACCAAATAAAAGTTGATGAATTTCATTCAAGTGATGGAGATGTGACATTTCAGTAATTACATTCAAGGTGATTTTTAGTTGGATTCATAATGCTTTGGATAAACATTCAAGTGATGGATAATTTCAGATGTTGATTATTTACATGTGACTCTTTAGTCGCATTGTGTGATTCTAGTTTTAGGAATCATTCAATTTCTAATAACATCTCTGTAGTGATTTGTGTTTCATGTGTGACAGATTTACATTGATGACTCTAGATTCTTTATTCTTCAGGGAGATTTGTTTTATGATACAGGGTGATAGTATGGTCAGAATTGTACTTATTTCTCTGAATTTTTTTTTTCTTAAATGATTCTCAGCAAAGTTATTAAATTGGATTCTAAAGGAATTGACCTTAATTTATAGGTAAATATATGCTACTGAAACTGCAATGAATTCCTGTAGATTCTGAAATGGATGTTGAAGGACTAGAAGTTTGAACTGATGATTGCAGCTACAGTACTTAGGAAACCTTCAAAGAGACAAAATTGATTTTTAGGTATAAAGTGCATCTATGTTTTAAATTTATAATTTATTTAAATTTTTTAGCTATGAGTATTGAAAATTAAATCTTGGGTCACCCAAATGTTGCAGTGGTTAGAGCATCTATAGCTGCGTTAAAGTCGCAAAGTAAGGAGTTGATCCTTACGTTGTGGGTTTGAATCCCACTGTGGGACGTAGTGACCAGTCCTTCTGATAAGTCTGTATAAACAGAGGTTCCGTGTTACAGTATGTACTGGCACAAAAAAGATCCCTTCCTGCTAAATGGCCCTGAGTGCCAATATAGGACAAAATTTGCAGCTCTCCACCAGCAAGTGTTGGTGTCTCTATTTGAATGAAAAATTCTCAAGAGTGAGGTAAACAATATACATGTACAATAATACAATCAATCAAATGTTGGCTATTGAGCAGTGTGATTGTCATTTTTTGCTAGATCACTTGATCCAAACACTTGAGTGAGCTTTCCTGATCAAAAATTGTTAGCATTGTTATTGTTTAAAAAAATCTTATGAATTAACCATTTCTGCCATTAAACATTTTTCATCTTTTGCAGACAAAAAGGTAAAAATACTGAATGTTGGTGACAGAATTCTTTAATTTTCTTGGGCTTCATTTTGTTCAGTACTTATTTGCCATAGAAGGGTACTATAGCACTTTGGTGTTCACAAGGACTTGTTAATTACCGGGTACCCTTAATTACTTTGAGGATATATAGGTTAAGGAGACATTTAGAACTTTTTTTTATCCTAATTATTGGATTAATTCTTATTGTAAGAGTGTATTTGTATCACTCACAATTCTATGTAAGTATGGATGTAATCTTTGCTAAAAAATATGCTACTTAATTAAATTGAGTTTGTCCTTTTAAGGTGAATATCGTGCTTTTCCATTCTTTTTTTTTTTTTTTTTTTCGAAATTTCAACCTCTTCCAATGTTGACATTACTTTGGAAATGTGTGTGTCATTTTGAAGATTGAATGTTGCTAGCTTGAGGTTATTAGAGAAAATTCTTTCCAGAAGTTTCATTATGGTTTACATTATGTTTCACAGTTAATTTTTTATAATTCTTGGAAAGACATATATATAGTCATACGTTCTCCAGGAACTGACAGTAATCATTAATCGACAGAAAGAGACAGAAGAGAATTAAGTTTTGATCAAATATTCATAAGTTGTCACACTGTTTAGACAGTACATACATAAAGTTTTACAGTTCATAATACAAGCAATTAAAAAAAATCAATCAGAAGATAGAAACAGTGTAGTGACAAGAGATAAAAAAAGAAAAAAAGTATAAGCCTTTTTTTTCAATTTATTTTTTTCATTTTACGGCATCTTAAATTGTTGTGTGCATTTTTCTCAGAAACCTACAAAGCTACAATTTCTAACACTGACATCACATCAATATATAAGAAATTAAAAAAAAAAGAAGTGAAAATCTGTTTGAGATCTTCAGTTTTACATTGATGTGTGAGATTCATGTCCCTTAAATTGTGAATTATTCTGAAAAGTCGGGTGTCATCAACTTCATTTTAAGACCTAGAGAATCTTAACATTTAAAGGCCCATGGCTCTTTTTAGCTCACCTCGACGAAGTCGATGAATTATAGAGAGACAATTTATTTCTGTTTTTGTCGGCGTTAGCATCGGCATCCCGGTTAAAGTTTAAGGAGCAGGTCCATTCCCAAGTAACTATAAGCCCTACCTGGACTAAACTTGGCATCAGAATCATCTGTCATTAGCTTGTCGATCTGCATCCAGATGAGTGGCGGTTAAAGTTTTAGGAGCAGGTCCATTCCCAAGTAACTATAAGCCCTACCTGGACCAAACTTGCATGGATGATGCATTTAGGGATGGACACTACCAGACTTGCTTCGGATGCTGGATGTGACCTACATTTTCCAGATGAGTGACCAGGTTAAAGTTTTTGGAGCAAGTCCATTCCCAAGTAACTATAAGCCCTACCTGGACCAAACTTGCATGGACGATGCATCTAGGGAATGACACTACCAGACTTGCTTCGGATGCTGGATGTGACCTACATTTTCCAGATGAGTTTTAGGAGCAGGTCTGTTCTCAAGTAACTATAAGCCCTACTTAGACCAAACTTGCATGGATGATGCATCTAAGGATGAACAATCAAAACTTGCTTCGGATGCTGGATCTGACCTACATTTTCCAAACGAGTGATCAGATTAAAGTTTTTGGAACAGATCAATCCCAATGAACTTTAAGACCTATTTAAGCAGAACTTGCTTGAATATTGTTGTCAGAAAAAAATACTAACTGTTAAGAAAATATGATCTGAATTTGCATTACTTAGACTGATTATATTTGTGTGAGGTGTCAGCTTCGTAATCTCTTGATTACCTATCACTTTTTAGGTGTGCATGATGCAACTTCCTAATGGTGTGTAGTCCATTTATCAACATGTTTCAAACCCACATCTATTTTGGGTAAGGTATGTTTTACTGTCCATTTTTGTCTTATTTTTATTTTTTGATCTCAAATTTTATCTTTGAATATTAATCTTTATTTTCTTTTATTATGATTTATTGCTGATCAGAATCTAATTCATCACTGAACTTTTTTAAAGCTACATGTACACAGTAACAAATAACGATATTAAATCCTTGTGTGAGACCTAAAGAGTAACACCTTTAACTCTCTTTTTAACAACAGTTTCTCTGATTTTAGGAGTTTAGTCCCCCCTGTTAAAGATCATGAATGGCAAATAGACAATGTCGAATGCAGTCTGGTCATCAACAGAGAATTTTGACACCCGACGTCACCCGTAGACCTGTATTTCAACTAATTACCTCTCTAACCTTTGTTGTGTTCACCAGGCAGGTAAAAAAAAACAAGATAATTAAGTTAAATAATTTTATTGTGTTAAATTAAAAAAAAGAAGAACATATTTACATGCACAGAATATCCCCTATATAACAAAAATGTCACATTTTACTCATACAACTATTAATCATTTTTACATGCCCACCTTAATTTTTCCCATTTATACAAAGTTGAATAGAATAAGTGCATTCATAATAAAACATAGCAACAATTAGTTCAAGAAAACTATCTAGATAATTAAAAAATAATATGTATGATTTCATTTTTCATCGTAACATTTAAATTAAATACACAGCATCTGAAATTGAGTGAATGCCCACCCTTTTTTCCCATTTCTTCCAAATTCCTTTTTATGCCCCCACGCATCAAAAGATCCCTGGGGTATATTGTTTTAGTCATGTCTGTCTGTTTGTCAGTGTCTGTTATTTGACATGAGTGTACATTATGACAAGACCTTTCCTTTGGTACAGAAATTTTTGTATCATGTGACCTCAGCTGTGACCTTGCTACCCTTAAAACATCTAACAAGTGTATACCACTTCAGTCTCCATCCCACTCTAGAATTGTGTTACCATCCATAGTGTCTCACAAACACATCTTGTGAATTAATTATGAATCTACTAACAAACTACTATCAAACCACACTAACAAACTACTAACAAAACACTGGTAACAAATCCATCAGCAAAACACTAGATTTGAATTTTCCTTTACAAATCCACAAGTCTTTGAAAACACCTAAAACAGTCACATTTTGAAGTATTCAACATAAGTCTTGTTTCAAAGTATTTTAATTTCCAGGATTCACAAATTTAGCCAATGCAAGTGCAACATTCCAACATGTTGCCTTTTGTTTAGGAGATGCCAATTTCTAAGTCATGTCCATTTACTTATCTGCACATATATTCTCCTTCATGTTGTGCACATCTTCATAGTACAGTGGACCCTCATTTATCCGGACGCT